ATTCTAGAAATCAAATACTTTAAATCTATTTGTTAACACCTTACACTTATGAAAATGTATTAATCAGTTTTTATTTACGATGAATGAAGGATTTGTTAGTATTGTCAATCTGCTTTTCTATCCGATCCATCCTATCGCCTACTTGCGAACGATGTAAGGTTCCTCGTATTTGATCGATGAACTATTGTCAACAACTTGCTATCAACAATAGTATTGTTGAGGGTGATGGTCTCCGGTCGCCTGCCCCATCACGGGTAACGATTGTATAGTACCACTATATGTAGCGGTTGTAGAAATGCTACTGCTCGTGACAGTTATGGTGACTACGCAGTGCTGCTACAAGCGACGGCTACAACAACATTGTTATTGCTTGTAGCGACAGCGATAGCATATCTACAACAACACCATTGCTAGTGGCAGCTATAGTAGCACCTTTATGGTAACATTTGATGGCTGCGATCAACATCAATTAGACACCGAAGGTTGCGTGCAGGTGGTTTCTATGCACGGTTGCGATGACTATGCCTTGCACAACGACTGCAGATGGTGGCTATGGCACCTCGTGTAGGTGGCGGCCGCACATGTTGACGGTTGTCGCTTAGGCGGAGGTTGCACCCTACATAATAGCATCTAAAAGGGGCAGTTAGGGTTTATATATCCTAAATTAATATTATAATTTTATCCTTCATAAATGAATTTTTTTTAATTATATCCTCAATAAAAAATAACTAATTTGATTTATTTTAATCAAATACTTTTATCGAACTTGATTATAATTGTATTTTTATTATTTGACTAGATTTAGACTCGATCAATTAAGTCTTGATTAAATTAAAAAAATTAAATTTTAATCAATTTTTGATTTTGATCAATTTTGATCTTTAATAAACTTAATTGGGTTAATGTTTAGCCTAATTCTAGGCTTGCCTAATTAAATAAACTTGTATGTGAAAAATAAAAATCTAATTATTATTCTTGGATATTTATTCGATTATTCATATATATATATATATATTTAAAATTATGAAACAATATTTATGTTTCAAATAAAGGCATGATTTATATTTCATCATTATTATAGTTATCATATGAGTTTTTTTTTATGTTGATTAATATTCAATAATTATTACGATTATTATTTTATTATTAAGCTATTTTAATATAAATTAGATTAAAAAATTAATATATATAATTTATAACTCATATCCCTATGTTTTATTTAATTAGTAACTACCAAAATGATTTGAGATGATAGACTTATGTGATGT